AAATTAACCCCATCCTGGCTAAAACTACAAATGACAATTTTTGTTCTTCCATCTACCATCAGTCAGACGTGAAAAATGCTATATCCTCCATTACATTTCTTATCCTAAGTAGGCTCATGTGGTCAACTTTTCCTCCTACACATTTTCTTTCCAGTAACTTTCAGCTATAAGAAGCTATGCTGAAGGCCTCATCTTCCTAGTTATCTAATGGACTGCAATTAAAGCTCATATTCAAAAAAAATTAATATCATAATTTCTGAGCACACTTTGGGTCAGAGTGAAATAGAAGAACTCTGGGGAAGAATTTAAGTTTTCCTAATGTCTTAGCATAATGTAATGCACCATGATTTATTATGAAGGGTAACAGAAAAAAGCCCCAAAAGATACTGCTCCTGCAAGATACACTTTATAACTAAACAGATGCTACCTAAACTTCTCTTCCAGACAAGAAGGGAAGAGGTTTCTGCACTAACTAAAAAATGACACCACGTTTATGCAAGCCCAAGCTCTTAGGCCAGAGAAGGAGAAGTTAAAAGATAAATATTCCACTGAGGAGAGCCCTGACAATTGTTGTTACACAAAGGATATATTGATATCTATCTATCTATCTGCCAAAAGCACAAAGTAAGGTGCCTCAACACTTACTGCTTTCTTAAAAAGAGCTGTCTTAACTGTGACATGCTGTGTATGATAAAGATATATTGATCAGACATTCCTGGTAAGTTACACAAGGTGTAATAAACATTTTCAACCAATACTCACAAGGGTTTTAAGGTAAATCTCATTCCCACTTATCATATATTTGTTCCTCATACATTCTACATCTTGACCAAGACTTCTCATCAATTAACAAAAAAAGAGTAAAAAGAAAGGTGAAAGAAATTAGTAAAAGCAATAATGACAAATAATAGCTAGATCTGGGATTAAAGAAAGAGATATTTGATTGCTTAGTCATTATAATCACCTTGATTTTCCACTTGTGCTAACCTGATCTTTCTGTGATAAAACTAATCTGATCTTACAACAAAAGAATTAAAAACTGAAATTAATTGGTCATTTCCTCTAAAATATCTGTTATTTTATTTCCTTAGCCTTTGTCCTGTACATGCAGGCCCCGTACAGGAGGAACCCTGGCAGTGTGTAGGTGTCAGGAGCCCTCTAGAGGCTGCAGCCAAGTCGGACATTTCCAGAGTGCATTTCTCAATCTGTGTAGAACTCAGAAATAGCTTAATTGCAGGCAAAAGAATGCCTTCATTCTGACAAATTCTTATTTTCTTCCTACTCTGAGCTCATAATCATGTTCAAATAATTATAACGCTGAAATTCCAAGGAAATACGAAATAGATGTTACATGTAAAACTTATTTATACACACACACTCCTCTATTCCTCATAGATATAGATATGTGTAAATATATATGCTTATATGTTTCTATGTACGAAGGAGGATGAGGAGGATAACACCTCTGTCTTAACTATTCCAGCCATTCTGTATAGAGTTTACTGAGCCCTGACTGTTCTTTTTCCTGTGGAAGAGAGTACACCCAGGGCAGCATATCTGACCTCCTAAGAGTAGCTCCTGTCAGCAGGCCACCACTGACTTAACGGGTGACAGACTTAATGACCTTCTAAAGGAACCTTTCATGTTGGGTAACACGATGTGAAAAGTACTGTTCCCTTGGTTGGTTGGTTGGGGTTTTTGTTCTATTAGATCTTGGATATGCTACTTTTTTGATATGCAAATAGTTCTTTATTTATAGGTTTTAATGGTTACAAGAAGATGAGTTTTACAGCTGGCTTATTCTCCTACCTGACAGATTGACAGGCAATAGTAAGTTCTACTGCCTGCCTCACTCACCAGATTTCTGTACAGATATGTATTCAGATAGTACACATCTCATAGCAGCCCCATTACAAAGAGATGGCCAGTCAAATGCATATTATTGGCCATAGGCACCTTAACCCTTACAGGAAAGAGGCGATGCTCTCTTGGTAAAAGATACAAGGACCATCCACAATGGGCATCTGTATTTCAAAGGGAGCACATGGGACATTGTGCAAGCAGGGAAGTCTGTGGTCATATGGCTTCACTGTAGGCAAGGTTTAAATTATTGAGAAGTGTATCAGGACCATAAAAAAGATGCAGGAGTAAAAATCCTGTACATCAGGAAGTGTGCACACTGCAAGAAAAAAGAAACAATCTCCCTGGATATGCTAGGTTTATTGCTTTCCTCTTGATTTCATCAATTTTATGGCTGAAAAACCTGGGAATTTTGGTCATAAGCAATTTTTTCCTCCTCATGTAAGTGCAAACAATATTGCAGTGGTAGAGCAGCTTGTAAGCTATGCAGTCCTACTATGTGCCTGCTATAAAAGAACACCATGGCATATAGTCCCATTCTTAAATTAATCAAAATCTCTCTCCATCTTAAAAGTAATTAAGAGAGGTTTCTCAGTTTGGGCTTGGTACACCATTAAATGTTCATGGCCTTCAGCTTGGGAATGGCTTGTGTGCAACCAGCATAGAGGTGAACCTGATAGATGCTCTCTGAGGGCTGCTGGGAAGACAGGCTTCTGAAAAAAGGAAAAAAGGTGACTTGAGATGCTGAACTTGAATTAAGTGCTCCCATGTTAAAGAACTGAAAACAAAATCTCAAGGAAAAGAATCCCGGAGGAATGTGGATTGAGTGCGTTGCTAGGGCGCACTGGATTTTGGGTTTTTCTGTTCTTTAAATGAATCCACCACTGTTAAAGCACTAGCTCACAAAATCCCCATATTTGTAATGAGGGCCCTGCAAATCTGTCTTAATACCAGATTGGGTATGTAGATCCTCTTTCCAGTATGCATGCCTGTAATAAGATGCAGCTCTTCAGATTCTTGCACGTATCTAAAGTACTTCTTCAAGCTCAGAACAATCGTCAGTATTCATTTAGTACAAAAATCCACTGATTTGTACACTATGTCATCAGAAACCTAAAATGCTGTAAAAATATTTACATGCATCTATAAACAAATCCATCAGAGCTCAGGAACATAAATGTAGGCTCTTCTAAGCAGACGACCTAAAATGTTTGCAGGATACAAGAAACATACTTATTTTAGCCAAGCCCAAACTATTTATCTTTACTGGCTTACAGAGATATGGAGTTATTTAAGGCAAAGACTCACATGAACTATGCAAACAACCAGAAAGTACTAAGCTAAAAATAGTATACATTCACATTTAAAGCAGATTTTGGATACAAAACAGGTTCCAAGATATACTGTACAACCCTTTTAGCAAGTAAGCAAGCTACAGCTGTATCAAAACTACAATTAATTTTTGACCTTCCATAATGCCTTTTATCCCACGATCTCAAAATTCCTAATTTTGGCACTACTCAATTAAAGATGAAAGCATTCTTTAGAGATAGGTTATTAATATAAAAATCCTTTCACACACTGAAATCAAGCAATCTCTTGTACAACAGCTGTTGCCATGCATGGCAATTCCTGAGAATAGAGAGGGAAAGAAGGATCTCATATCCACTTAAAATTTTAATGGTGTTTAATTGTACCAATAGAAGTGATGCTTCTCTTCATAATTAAAAAAAAATAAAAATAATGGCAGTCCGAGGAAGAAAACTTGCACCAGGATCACCTAACTAAATTCCCCATTAAAGTTCCCAGAACACTTGTCTATAGAGTGAGATTAAAAAACTGGAATCTAAAACTCAAATACCTTAAGTCCTCGCTGCCTGGTGCATTTTCCCATTAGCTTTTCATCATCTATTTCACACTGCTCCAGAAGGTCCAAAATGTCCTCTTCCTAGAAAAGGGAATTCCATTACAATTAATTCACAGCAGGACATATCCTGTCCTTCCAAAATTCAAGCAGAAAGTGGTAGGAATTTGAAATTACTCTGATTACTAATTACTGAAATAAGGCTATGAATCCCTCCACAGGAGGAAATACAAGTATTTTATCTCATGCATGCATCTCTCCTTGAAAGCAACATCAAATTGAAAGTTAAAATCAAGTCTTAACATTTATTAAAGATAAAAGTCTGAAGAAAGGGTTGAACAAAGATTCCTGTAAAACTGCTGGATGATGTCAACTACAAGGATGCAAAATTATTTCTCAGATTTCACATTAAATCACATTAGCTGGTTATTAATGTAGCCATTTTCCTACTGTCTCTGACTACATAAGTAGGGAATCAGAGTTTTTGGATGCCTTAAGCTAGTGGAGCTGGTTTTAGGCTATTTCTTGTTCCAGTCCTTACAAGTGGATGAATAGGCTGGGAACATTACTGGAGGAAGAAGGAGGCAATTACCAGCTCAAAAGCAGTTTCTGCCAACCTCTGGTTTGGCCAGGGGTAAGACTGAGGATCAGGGATATGGTAAAGTAGCTTAAAGCCATCTAGCCTGTCTCCACCCTGGGTCCACTGCAGTTCATCCAGATGCAAGGATCTGGCCCAAAAGCTGCACAAAGAATAATAATAAAATCATGGAAACATTATCAAATTATATTTATTAGCCATCACACATGATCACCGTGAATCTAACCCACAAGGTCATGAATTAAAGGATAAGTAACTCCTAAAGCCAATACTTTGTGTACTTCAGTACCTTCATTCCTTTTAAAGGGTTATTCATTTCCCGCTGAAGTGAAGCTGCTCTTCCAGCAAGAAACGTCTGGAAAGCAGTGGCTAACAAACTGTCATACTTCTCTAGTAATGTCTTATCATCAGGAGGGTAAATTCGCCTAAAATAGAAGAAAAAAATAAGAGTTTAAGATAGAAGCTAAGCTACTTATCACATTGTGAATTAGTGGCATTATTTTTGTTCCTAGTCTCTTCTGTAATGTTTATGTATCCCATCTATACTAATTAGATAATATACCATAAAACATATACTCTGAACATTGCTCTCTACATTGAGTTTTAACTCAGTGAACACATTCATGTTTAAGCCAGCAATTAGCCAGTCAAAAGAAATACCATGCAGGTCATTCCAGAGGTATACTCAGTGCTGCAGTGCTCAGAAATTTCAGAGGCTGTGACTGATGCATGCAGGTGTGAATGATTCATGAAATATTAACAAAACATTGCATGTAAAATTCAGAGCCACAAAATAATTTGTATGAGCAATAAAAGGACAGAAAACAGTGAAAATCTGAATGATTGGTTTGATTTCATGAGCATGATGTAAATTAAAGATTGAATATGTACTGCACTTGAATGCTAAATCCTCAAACACCAAAAACAGGAAGAAAAAAAAAAAAAAAAATTCTGCAACATGCGTATATAGGGTAACTCTGATTTTCCGTTACAGCTGCTATGCCATTATTCTCTAAAATCACAGGTAAGAAGATTATGAAAATATGAGAAGCAGGACTTAGTGATTTATTCATGCTCATCAAGCAACAATGGACTTTGAAGAAAACCACTCCAATCCATCTGTCATGAATGTCTGAAACACAGCCAGAAATTATGAAGATGGAAGATTAATTTCTAACATATTGTAAGGAGCAATCCCTAAGTTAATTTTGCCAGCACTGTGCAAAGCATAGGCACCATTTATACAGTGCCTGGCATTAAGTGATTTCTATGTATTTGTGAGTTCTTCATGAACTTTTTACAAGGTTCTTTCTACTTCTTTTTCAGCGTTTTTCTCCTTGAAAAGGCACCTATCGTGATGATGTCATTGCAATGAAAAAAGGACAGTTATTATCCCATTAGACTCAGGGCAGCTCTCCAGTGAACTGAAGATGGTTCCAGTTCAACACCTGGAGGAGCTCTGATCTAGTTGCAGTCAACACTTCATAATGGTGTTGATTCCACTGCTGAAAAAGTGTCATAGAGCAATAAAGAAATCATATTAATATATGTAGAAACACACCGCAGCTCAAGGCCATTTCAAAGCTATATAGATCCTTTCCAATTCTTATGAATTCACAAAAGCTTCAAAGCATGGCTCCTACTTTGACTGCCCCAGAACCCCTGTGGGAATCAGTTGGCTATTTGTGCTTGCAGACAGACATTGACTAAGCCAATTGCTCAGCTGACATCTATAGGTTAAATCCAAGCCTGCTGAGGCTGATTGAGGTTTCTCTGAATTTTTACTCAGCGCATAATATAAATCCATGTGGTAATACTAGCACCAAAAATTTCCAGGATTCTATGGCAATGCCTGATAGAAGCTAGTCCTGTTCTGCAGAGGAATACCACAGGGAGAAAATACTGCATAATGCTCAGATGAAATTTCTCTGCATCTCTAGCCAAGATTACTTTTCTTTTCAGGCTCTACTGATTCTTCAGCCTTTTCTCAAATATATGACAACAAGAAAACACCAAGTTGTGCTGCCCTTTTACAAGTGTACCATCCTCATGAAATGACACTTCATATTTTCCTAAGGAAAAAATACTCTTGTGTTTCTATTTATTTACATTAGCACAAAAGCTAAATAAAGAGATCATGTGGCTCATTTTCAGTCAAGAACTGAATAAGCAGCCTAAAATGTCATAAGTCAATAAGCTAGACTTTAAAGTTATCAAAAAACAAAGATGTATTAAAGCACCATGGTGTTTCTCTTTCTTAGAGTCCAAATGGCATGAAAATAACCACTTCACCACTTCATTGTATATTTAGAGATTTATTATGTACTAGCTCAGCTCCACACGTGTCAAGCAAGGATGTAATTAAAGCTGTGAAAGTTACAAAGAAAGACTTTTTGTAAGCAAAATGTTAAGTCATCAAAAAAGAAAATTTCACAGAAACATCTATCTGTTTAAATGAGAACATAAAAAGAATTATAGAGCATCTGCTCAAAAGAGCAGTGATAGAGAACAGCAGCAAAGGCATTCTGACTAATTCAGAACAAAAGATGGGAATTCAGACCTCCTACACCCTGGATGAATGTTATAAAGAATGGGCAAATATTCCCCTCATCATTTCCTAGCCATACTCTGCTCCCTTTCACCAAATATCCATAGGCCTTGCTTTTATTTCTCATTGAGGCAAATATCAAGAAATAATAATAATAATGATGAAATCATCAAAAAACAAAATTCTTGTTTTATGGCTAATGCCTATTACAACTGACCATGTAACACTCCCTTTTTGAATGTATTTTACCAAGGAATCTGCAGGTACTTACATTTAAGCCTACTATGATCCAAAATCAAAGTGCAAAAATATTAATATAGTACTTCAAATGTCATTCTATTAAAAATGATGGAAGCACCAATAAAGTTTCTGAATTTTTGGCAAGCCTCAGAGATACACTCAGATTTGATTTCTTTGTAGGGGAATAATCATACTCCTATATTGCCCCAACCCCCAAGGTATGAATGATCATATGTGATTACAGAACAGGTTCATAACAACACTCATGGTTCTTGGTACACTGAATGTGAACTATCACGTCTTTCTTGCACAAAAACTGTCATAAATTCCTAAGTGCATAGAAAAAATTGGAATCAAGAGAAGACCTATTGGAAAAAAAAGTTCCCTGATGTGCATGTATATATTTCCTACAAGAGCCTACATATTTTGGGGCAGAAAATTATAATTTAACACAAACACTTGTTTCCATTATTCCTAAAGAATGCATTACATACTTCCTACTCATACAGTCAAAAATATTCACCTGTAGTTCCCCATGTGTCTGTTTTCATGCTCCTCTTTGGAAATCTGTTTACGTACTTGCGCAAGTCTTTCCTTCTACGAATTAAGAAAACAAGAAAATTAAAACAAAGCAAGCATAAACCATGGGCAAGAAACAGCACTTTTCTTCCCCTTCCTACCAGTTCTTCTCTTCTCCTTTCCAGTGTGTGGCGCTGCTTCTCCCAGTCTGAGGAACCTGGCAACAGTTTTTTCATTGCCCCTTGACCATACAGTCTTTTTTGAGCCTCAGCCTTCTGTTGAGCTAAATTTCTCCTTTTGTCACTTGTCCTGAAACACAGATGGTATTAAGAAATGCCAATCCAGTGCAGCTGAGATGAAATGCATTTTCATATCAAGTTTATCATCTGTATTTTCCAGTCAGATTTGTGTGGTTTATTATATAAAATCAGAATTTTAAACACTCATTAAGACTTTTTTTTAATATTAAATTTCATGGCTACAGTATTTTCACACTTGAAGGGGTACTGTATTGACTCTGTACTATAGTGTACTTTCCTGAAGTATAGGTTTTATCTAACATATCCCAGCTACAAAGTTTTCCTGCAGAGGGCTATGGCTTTTGACTATATGTGACACTATCATCAAAGCAAATTTCCCATGTGCCCACATGCCCATGACTGCACACATATCCCAACTCTGAGACTCATTTGAAAAATCATTTTTAAAAGCATAGAACAAAATTACTATTACCATTCATTTTTCGCAAACAGAAAAATTAAATTTCTAAAGCAAAACTGACAGCAAGGGAATCATTTATATTTTGAAAATATGAAGCTGGAAAAAGGTCTTCTTTTTCTCCTAGTCCAATTCAAATTAAAAAAAAATAAATCAAAGCAACAGAAAGAGAGACAGACAGAAGAAAGGAGGACTGGTTACCGTATGTTGAGAAGCTTTAATGCATTTAGCAGAACTCCTTTTTTTACATCATAGTCTATTTTTTGATCCGTTCCAAAGCTTGGGGCACGATTAATCTGAAAAAATGAGATACAGAAGATTCAGGAATGTTCAGGTTCACTGGGAATACACCTATTGTTACAAGCTTTGGAGAAATGACTCTTTCAAATATAGCAGAGATTAAGAGAATACATGTTGAGAAGTTCTTTTCCAAAAAGCAGCATATTTAGTATCACAGATACTGGGAGGCAGGAGATGTTCCTTTCAGGCACTGAGTTATCCAGACATTTACAATGAATATTTACAAAGTACTGTTAAACACACTACAACAGATGATGTGCCATGCTACAGTGGTCCAGCACAGGAGGAGTTAAGCTCTTTCCTAGGTACCAGTGTGAAAGCAACTTTCAAATACTACTCTAAAAACAACTATATAAGGACAGAAAGAGACTCTAATTCAAGGCCTTCCCAAGCATATTTAAATAACTTTTTAGATACACTTGACAGCAACACCTAGAGATCTAAGTGATTAAATCTGTACAAAGTGTGAAAACGTAAAATAATTAACAGTGTGAAAACAAAATAATTAACAGGCTTGGTAACAAAAAGCTTATAAGCTAAGTACAAGATAAGAGATTTAAAATGTTACCATAAATCTAGAGAAACAAGGAAAATGCAACTGGGAATCAGTGAGACTAAATCACACACTTTAGAGCCAGGACCCTCACCCTATAACCCTGCCAAGCTTTGGAGTCCCTGCAGAAGATCTTGAGTTTTCAGAAAGCTTTGAGGAGGAATAAGGACTTATTCTAGGAAGTTTTTCCAGGCTGGTATAAAAATTTATACTTGAGCAATGGGTGCCTATGAGAGGCAGGAATCTCACCTTGATAGTGCCTGAGCAGTGCTGGTTACAGAAGTGACAGACACAAAAGAGCTTCAGTAGTGAAAATTAACACCTTGTGCCCCATGCAAACCAGAAGTGGGATACAGTTTGTATGTCCACAGTAGAGGGCAAAAGCACTTAATTAAAATTTTGTTTTAAAACTCTAAATACACTAGAGCATCTAGGAGCTTCTACAGTTGTGGGACAGAACTATTCTGGCAGGTGAGCCCCCAGCTGTCCTGTTGCTGAGTCCCAGCTGCCCTTCACTCATGCTCATAGCTAAAGGTTGTCTTTTGGCTTTGAGAATCAGCTTGTTTGCTGTTTTTGCAGACAGGCTGTCAACGTGAGCAGTGCAATCTGACATTGAAAGAAAAATCATGAAAACTCAGCAGAAATAGTGAAAAGGTTTATACATATTCTTTTTTGGAAGTCTTTCATCCAAATATTTAATTGAACAACCTCTTTAGACTGACCTGTTCATCTCCTATCATCACAAAGGCAATTTTTTTCTATACTGTGATGGTACAAATATTAATTTAGATCTGAAAATGTATTTCCACATGGCTTTAGTCTAAGTAGTGCAAGAAATACAAATATGATTACCTTCTATATTCAGCTGTATAATATTTGCATATAATTTTACAAATGTAAAGAGGCTAAATATTCACTGAAATAAAGTGTCTTGTTTAGTCAATTGTTATGGGTGAAAATCTTAAGAAGACAACTGGTTTTCCCTTAAAATATCCTTGAAAAGAAGGTATTGTCCCTTATTTTTCATGCAGCTATCCCTTATTTCCAGACAACAGATATGGTTGCTGACTAATCTGTAAGACAGAAGTGCAGTAATCTTGATAACATATGTCACAATAGGTATTTTAATAACTGGTTACCAAACCATTGTATTTCAGCTGAGAGATGCTTATTTAGAGTTCAATGACCCGAGAACTAGGACATACATGACTGGGTTCTGTTAATAAAACATCAGCAATTTTATCAGGAAGGAACATCTTGAAGATTTTTGACAAAAACAGGACTGTATGAGGAACCTCAGAAGTACATGCAAATGATGATAGTAAAGGCCTTGAAAATTCAGAGATTCAGATATACACTGATCACAGTGACCAAATTGTGTTCACTACAGGAATGCAACCTTGTAAACTAGATAACACTGGGTCTAGGGATAATAAAGAGAGCACAAGGCATGATTCCAGGAAATGTAAAACACTTTAGCAAAACCTGGAGACTGTGTGGAATTGCTGGGTAGGGAATGAACAACCACTAAGTGGATGGTGGCAGCAAATGAATAAAAAGACCACTAAGTGAAGCTAAGAGCAGAGGAAGAAAACTTCACCATCAACCAGATGTTCTTCCTGGTGAAGAACACAAGACACTGGAAGCTTGCTATAACCACCTACCCACCTCCTTTTAGAGAAATAGACCTTTCCTGCCTCATGTTGGCCTTTGGACCTCCAGGGGCACAGGCAGGGCAAGCACAACACAAGTGAAAGGAGTAGATGCCAGAAAGCTTCATTAATTAGCAATAATTGGGTACTTTGGTCTAATATGCTCACATTCATTTTACACAGACTGATTACAAAGCTTTGACTAGATTTTGCTGTTAGGCTACACTAAATAATAAATTTCTAAATCTGTACATAAGGTTCTTGTCACCCACATAAATCACTAGGGAAGTGGGGTATCCTGCACTTAGGGCAGTTATTAAAATATGTGGGATCTTTTTCTTCAATGATCACAACTTTGTGATCCCAACTGGATAAAATGAGGTTGAACAAACCTGGAGCCAACTCAAGAACGTCAACTGTTTGATTTCCCCCTTTAAATAAAATCAGCCAGCTCGGAAATTTTTGTGAAAAAGAATGAAACTGGATTTTCTGGGAACTGAAGAGAGATCTAGGCAGCTGTTGCTCCTCAGAAAAGATGGGGGCTGCTGGGACTGCACAGATGCTTGCCAGAAACATTTGGTGCCACAAGATGGCAATCATGCATTTCCCACAGCCCTCACATCAGTAGAAGGTTCCGGAAGTTCAGTAGCATCAAGAAGCAGAAGTGCTACAATGCATCAAGGCAATATAAACAAGAGTCAACCCAGGAAAGCAGAGTCATTATAATATGTTGTACAATTTATTTTTTATAATACTTTATTAAGCTATCTTTATAACAGAAAAGCTACATAAGGCATGGAAACATGAAACTAGATTTATCATCCTAATCCTATTTTGGCAATTTTCCCATAACACTGGGAACATTCAGGGCCTTGTGATTAGTACTTGTTACCACTGTTAGAAAGAATGATTCACTCCCCTAACAGGGTTTTGGCAAGAGGGAATTGGTGGAAAGAGATAAGAGTGGAAATGTGGGGAAGAAGCCAGAATTGTTTTAGGAAAAAAAAAATGTGCAGATATATAGAGAGTATATATGTTATATATACTGTATATACATACACTGCATATTTGATCTTTTCTACACTACATATAGCATACATACAGTATGTATACACTTACTCTGTTGTGAGATTGCTTCAAAAAACATGAATGGGCACAGTAAAACCTAGCAGATGAGTGTAGAAACTGAAAAACTAAACTGTTAGTTTAGTTAAATGTCTGGCAAAGTAAGTTGAAGGATACCTGTATTACCAAAAGCAGAAAAGGAAATACTTAGACTTCTGTATTTTAAAAAAATAACCAGGTACACAACACCAAATCCTGAAGCACTCTCCAGCAATCCAAAATACCAGAGCAGCATTTACTACTTTATGAGTTCTCTCCCTCATAAACAAGGAGTCTGGGATGGTACAAATCTCCTCTAAGACCCATTATCATAAGTGGTGAATTAAGCCCTCCAAAATCTCCATACCTCACGTGAATATCAAAGGAGAGAGATGTGTGTCCTTCAGAACAGACTCACTACACAGGCTGACTCACCATCTCTCACAGAAGAGGTCTCACTGTTCGCTACAAGGCTGGATGAAATGTTGCACAGACCAACTTCAATCTGCACTTAAATAACTGCATACAGCTATGTGCAAGCTACAGGCAACCTATAGATGATAATCTGAAAATGTAGCACAAAATCAAAGGCACAGTAGGCTTCACTGGACAAAAACAGAGGTTGTCAATGCAGTACAGACTAAGTTCATGTCATGTGCTGCTTTTGGCGAGAACATCAAAGCCACCAAATACGCCTATGTCTGCATGGCAACAGGGGAGGAATTGTATTTTTCTAATTAAAATTATAAAGAACCCCTGAGAGAAATAAACACGACAAAACAACTGTTGGCAGTATTAATGGCCTGAGAACAAGGTCATAATTCAGTAAATTAATTGTGTACATTTTGTTCATCAGTAGCCAAATCATATTCATGATTTACTGTCAATAGACAGGTTTTAATTCATTTTGCTTTCTTCCTCCAGCTGCACAGCTTCCCAACCAGTTAACAGAATTATATAAGACACTCTGAAAAAAGACAAGTGAACTTCACCTATATGTTATTAACAGTGCAATTAAAGAGAATCAACAGACAAACCTCAAACACTCCTGGTTGAAAATGTGTGTGAGCACCACTTAGGCTTAACTGTACCACTAACATATCAGAGAAGAAATGTTTCTTTCAGTCCATTCATGCCAATTGTTTGCAGCATTTCATGTATACCAAATTAGTTTCCTCTGTTTATGGGGATGCTTTCAGAAAGCACAGGGGAACACATATGCCCTCCTCCAAAAAATGAGAAAATTAAGAGCATACACTTACAAAAGTTGTCAGAGCCATATTACATAGCCATACTCATGAAGGAAATCTCTGTGGCACCCAGTTGCTATAAGCAAGGTCCTTTAGCTACAATAACAACTAGATTAACACAATGTAACATTTCCCACTAGAACTTTCAAAAACATCTGAAATACGACATCTGCCCAGGAAAACAATTACCTTTACCTGAGTATCCAAAAATCACAGGAAGGCAGTGTCTCCACATGGATGCTAAAGAAAATGCACCATTTATGTACTGAACAGTACCACCTGCACTGCACAGATCCTTTGCAAGTTTTCTTACACAGATGTGCATTCAGAAGAGGCTTAATTAATTTCACTCTTAAAAATTTAGTTTACATCTGTATAAAGAGGTTTACCTCTAGGAGCCATGGTTTTAGTTTTCTGTCCAGCAGAATATCAAAACCGAGGACTTCAAAGCAGACACTGTCACTTCCTGGTGCTTGCCCTGGCCTGCACATGCGATAAGCATGTAGAACATGTGGCTCTGCAACTATGAGAGTCTTCACTACCAGCTCCTGTAGGGATTTGTTTCAGAAAAATTTATCAGGAGAGAAGACATCAGTATATGTTGAACTACTGTTTTATATTTTTTAATTTTTACAAAATTTTTTTAATTTTAAAACTTTAATATTTTGAATTTCATGTATGTATTTACATATCATACCAAATAAATAGTCTATAATAAATAAACTGTTCCTGTGGAGTAACATACATAATTTGATATAAGCTGTATTGCCATACTTTCCATGGTACATATGTACTTTCAGACACGCAATAAGTTAAATACTAAAAGCATAGTGGGAACACAGATTGTATAGGCAATCTTCACCCATTTCATTTTGCAATATCATTTTCAATAAGTATTCTCAGAATCTACATACAGCTTTAAGCTCTAACAGTCTTAGGCCTATTTCTCACATAATGGCACCTGTAACATAACCATTTCAATAGTGCTGATTTAATATGCAATACTGACTGCAATTTTGTAAATATTCACACATAAAATTCACTTTATACTCTAGAAAAGTCCCCAGGAATTTAAATAGGATTGTTCCTTTGTATCATAATACTTATGTGAATAACTGTTTGAAAGGACTTTTGTCCCTCAGAAAAATGTTAACATTAAATTTGTAACCAGATTCTGAATTTAGTCTTTAAAAAAACATAATAATCATTTAGAGTGTGCCCTTTGTGGCACGCATTGCTGAGAATCTGGATGAATAAAGTTTCAAAAATCACTCTGGATTGTAGTACAGCAGATGGCAAAAGCAATTAATTTTCTAAGAACACACAAAATAAAGGAAAGTGTATCAGTTTATCTTACTGAAATATCACTCCAGAATTTGGAGACGTCAAGATTATTTGTTTCTAAAAACTCAGTAAACCATTTTATGGAGCGTTTGCTTCCTTTGTCTTCTGTTTCATCCCGTTCAAAGTGTTCATTATGTTTATTGACAGAGTAATTAGTCAGATGCATATACAATTGACTCTAAAAAAAGAGAGAAAAGACATTAAAAAAAACCTTAAATACAAATCTAGAACGGTCAATGCAAAATAATTAAAAGTCAAATAGTCAAACAGTTCATATTTGCAAATATACCATGTGCAGATTTAGTGTTCCTGATTCTTGAAGATTTCATCTACTGAATGTTCTAACCTTCTTACAACAAAACCTGGGCTCGTACTTAAGCCAATTACAGTCAACTGATCTACCACTCAACTTCTGGTTAGGTATTATATCTGCCATTTTTACAGGTCTGTATGTAAACAACTACCTAAAAAAAAAAAGTGAAGAGTAATTATCATACCTTACAGAATCATTCCATTCCACAGGAAGCAAACAATAAGGATGGTATTTTTAAGTGCTACTTTAAAAGGGCTAAAAAACACTCTGGCATCTGTTTCATAGACAATCCCACATTTCAGTTTTCACTGTAGCTTATTTATGAGAAATGTTCTCATGATAGTGATACTTTAAAATATCTTTTACATATAAACTCATCTGCCACATTGATATCTGCCAAAGTTGCTCATTTTTAACTGGCTAGTAGCCATATATCAGAGGGAGGTAAATTTCAATGCATTACACAAATGACTGACTGAGTGCTACAGTTCCTTTATGGAGCAAAATGTCACCAGCAATAAATGCATGTTATCCGTTGAATTAAAAACCCCCAACATTCTCTTTCCAAGGCCAATTTATAAATCATGATTTATCATCTACATTATGTCCCAGTGCAGATATTCATTCAGCTTTCCACTCACACTCCCATGCTGATTGTCCCCATCACAGCAACAGTCCTCTGCCATGTTTGATTATATACATGAGAGCAGTTGATATTCTAAGCTGACCATAAGCCTTCTGTTCCAATTCCTCTTCAACAGATAACACAAGCCTTCTGGTGTCATTTATCTTACTGCACTTCCTTATGTTTCAAAAAAGTTAATGAAATTAACAAAACTAATCAATTTAATTGCAAGCCAGTTAACAATATATTGCAGTAGCACTAGATGTATTTTTCCCATGGCTTTCAATTACTCCTTCGAGAATCATTCTGAAATCTATTGCTTTTGAATAATAACTGCCATCTTTTCATGAAATTCAAATTGTTTCAGACAGACAAAAGTAATTATTTTTCAAACTTAAAAATAAAAAAGAAAAGTGTTTTGTTAAACATCTGAACTAATAGTCTGAAGTTATTTGGCACGATGTCACTGTGGAACAATGTCATCCAAAGAACAATGTCATTAGTGACAAGCCAGGTTATTTCATACAATAGAAAACACGAGCAGTTGTGGGAGCACAGAAACAACTGCCTGCTCTGTTTATCCGCTCACAGCATATTTCACTGCTGCTAATGCTGAGATTAGTAGCAATAAAAAAATATTACAAGCAAACCATTCCAAATATAGTACTGGAACTCTTCCAAATATACCATTTGTACTGGGCTCCAAATTATACCTGCATTTTTCAAAGGTGCACCAAAACACAGTCATACTTTTCAGTTGCACAGAAGGAAGAAGACTCTACATGTTCTGTCTGTTATGTAATTACACTGAAGCAACTCTAAAAGTACATGGCATGGAAAAAGAAAGCATGAGTTAAGTATCTTCCATTTTATTTTTTTTCACTTCAATGACAATGCAGAAGTTCAGCCAGATGAACATCTAATTAAACCTCATGCCTAAATTTATTCATTTTACCTCCTCCAAACACTATACAGGTAAAATTCTACAAGTATAAGCAGTAAATTGGAATGAACAACTTACCAAATTTGAGTCGCTGGGGGGGTGATACTTTTCCGTGCCCATTCTCACCAGTCCATCATGATATAAAAATACTTTTAATGGATCACAGGAGGTTACAAGAATATACACACGTAAATCAAACTTGTAGCCTTCCATAAGAAATGGTTTGTCAAGATATTCCTGAACAATTAAGTGATCCTGAGCTTGTAACTTTTCTCCATTTCTTATTAAAGAGATCCTGGTAAAAACAAAAGTTATTTTAATAATGTGGAACTTGGACATTACACTCTGAAATAGATTTTCATGGTCACCCAGCCAGGTACTCAGGCTAAAGTCTACCTGGATAAAGAGACTTAGATATCTGATTTTTAGGGTAGAGAAAGTTCCTTTACATGGCTTTTGGATTTCTGTCCTTTATGGTGCTTCACTGGATGAAAAAAGGCAGTGAGCCATTTCAAAATAACTTTCTGCTTGCTTTGATTCAACAATTTGTAATAATGGGTTTGTTCTACACTTAGACATTGTTGGCAGAATGACCAGTCTCCAGCTTCTGTGATTAGTCCCCGTGCAACTCTAAAAATAGACTTCCAGTCTTTGTCACGTCTTCTGCCCAAGGTACAGGCTGCAAAGAACTTTCAGTGCCAACCTGACTTAGTGATGATGTTCGCAAAGCAGGACACTGATTTGTATGACTAAGGATGGCATAGATTAAGCTCACATTTCTGTATTTCCAGTTTCCCACATCAGAATCAAAAAAAAAAAGTTTATATACGAGCTATCAACTCCCAGTCTCTAACTACATAGACTTTTAAAAAACTGCAAGATTTAATACTTTCAGTATACAATTATTAACCTAAAACACCCACAGCTTTGCTACTTTGATCCTGTTCTTCATTATCTATGATACATTTCAGAGTTTTGGTGGTGAATACTCCTAATATACTGAGGAACTTTCCAGGCATTTCTCTGAACTATGTGGGTACCTTTCACTTCAGCTTATCTTTGTCCTTATCGAGAGGACAGAAAAATAAGGAAATGGAGAAGTTTGGGAGCCTTACTTTTATAGTAATTCTGATATATTCTGAATAACTAAGAGCTTTACTGCATTGTATAATCCAAATTTATATTAAAAGCAATAAAACCTAAAACTGAAATATCTAAAAAGAAGAACTGAAAATGCAATTGCAATATTTATCTTACTGTTTTCTAACTATGCAGTCCTGTCACAGACAAAATCTTTTCAACTCAACTGCAGGGGTGTCCCTCCTCCAGCATGGGTGTCACCTCCTTCCACGAGTGCCCCTCCAGCCACATCCCCAACAGCATCTCCTCTGTCTCTCCTACATCTTGTTGCTGCTGCTCTTAAACATATTTTTGCTTCTCTGACTGGCTGCAGTTTGGAAATGCAATGGGCTGTTTGGGCTGGTCTCAAAGCTGTGAAAGATCCTGACCTTGTCCCACATGACACCCCTGCAGCCTCCAGCCACCAAAAACCTGCCATTTACACCCAATAAAATCTCACAGCATAAACTGAAGTGTAGCGGATAAATTCACAATAAAATAATCCTGATCTTAATAATTATTTAAGCTTATTTGAGGTTTGTGAAGCCTTCACCCATTACATGGTCCTTCATACAACTTGAAATACAATCTTCTGACTAATACACAGCTTCTGTTAATGATATAAATAGCACTAGATTTCAAGTTTAATGGGTAAGAAGACCGAAGTTAACTCACAACTTACCCATGTCCCATTGCACCGTTAGCTGGTTTGACTATGAAAGTTTTCTGTCTACGTTTCTTCTTCAGTTCTTTTACATAGTTCTGAAACTGTGTGTATTCTGCAGGGAAGATCCATGTTCTAGGAATAAAAGTGTACTCCTGAGGCTGACTCTTGATCATTCTGCAAAAAAAGTGTAATTGAGTTAAAATCTTTCAACTACTTTGATGTTTCAAATCCTCAGGATTAAAAAGCATTTATGGCAATTTGACAAGGGAATATTTTTAGCAATATTCTGCAATATGAAAGCAAATGTCTGCATTTCTTTCAGAGTAGTTGGAGCTCTATAATATATACACATGCATGTGAATATGGTATATTCAAAAGAAGAGTATCTTGTGCATTTTTGTTTATCACATGTTTATGATGTTACTGGCATCCATCTTGTCTCTTGGCATCCATCTCACTCCTGTTACAATTTTTAGGCCAGTTACTCAGATGATTTAATGCTCTTCCTAGTCTTAGAAATATTAAACTTACAATAGACCATGGATTTATTTTTTTGGGGGAGATATTTGAAAAATATTTTCATTTTCAACACACAAAATAAGAGGATTTGGGATATTTGGAGTTTCTTCATGGGTGCAAAAAGTACCAATAACAAGTACTGCATTTAAAATTAAAATGGAAGGAATTTAAGATGTTTTTGGTCCTTTTGAGGGAATTGTAGTAATATATTTTGACACAGGCCAAGCAACTCATTTATCTTCTATACAGGGCAAATCACACTATCTTGGATTTGTGTTTGGTACCAGGCAATTGGGATTAAGATTCTAAAAGTATTTCATTTAGTCAAAAGAAAGAAAAGATACATAAAGCAAGACCAAGCAGAGGCAGGGAGGTGGGGAGGGGGTGGTGTGTGTGTGTGTAACAGAAGAACTAAAATAAAAATAAGGCTAAGAGATTGTAGGGACACAAACTCTGAAACTGAATCTGGCTAAAGGATGCAGCAAGGTCCTGGTGTCCTGCTTTAATAACTGTGGCAGCTGAGGTAGTGAGTATACCTCATTTTATACCTCTGTTGTCTGTGCAGAAAAGAAAAATAGAAGAGGAAGAACAGCAAAGAATTCAGGTAGTAGAAGTTTCCATCACCTAAGGCTGTGTATCTGGCAGACAGGAAGACACTGGCAGTATGGGCTAGGTACATATGGGTTGCTTTAATACTGGTTAACCACCAAGTTATAGGAGCAAAGTGGACTTGGTGGTACTATGCAAACTGATATTATAGTTTCCAGCAGGACAAATTTATTCTTTGCTGAGGTAAATACTGGTGCAGCTAGCTTGTTTCACGTACTCAGAGTGCTTGAAATTTCTCCATACATAACCACATAAGAAATCAGTTCAGGTAACTCAGAACTACTCTGTAATATAGAGTACAAACACAAATATGTGCAGACCAACAGAAAGCGACTGGAAGTTTAAAAAGAAATTAAGTGACATAGGGAGTTCCCAAACTTTGATTATTTTTAAATGGGGCTATGATGAATTTTAATACTTTTAAATTAAATACAGATTTAGGTGCACTTCTCCTTTTGTTTTGAAAACTAGTAGCACCAGGATAACTTAAGTGTAAAAGAGGCAATATAATTTCCACTTTTCATTTCTACTAGAGCCTACAAAATACTCCTGATGGAGCATTAGATACTTTTTCTTTAAGTGGCCCAAATACTGATGGAAAAAAAGGAGCTGCCAGCCACATCTGTAAGGCTGGGGCTGTAGCCAAGTCCTTCTGGTATAATAGATATGCTGTCACCACACTGTGTAGCCAACTACCCAACAAACACTCTGCAAATCCACAATAGCTATAGTAGTCTTGAAGTACTGCATGAGGTTCAGTGCTTCTGCAGCTTCATTGTAACTATTATTTTTACAAATCTGGTTTGACCAAAGACACTAAATATTTAGGAAAACGTTAAAAAAACCCCCATAAGTATATATTATAATTCCTGATTCATGCATATTGTTAAACTACTCTCCATCTGCTCTGTATTTACAAATGTTATTACTTTGCCAACTGAGTAGCTTATCTAGGCAGAAATTATCCTATTTTTAGGCAAAAAGAAATTTCTGTGTTTAGTTTAAATTCCTCTCCAGATTATTTATTGTAAGCATCCTGCTACATGATAGAGACTTGCCATTTAACTTACTCAAGGGTTTCAATACACACACTCCCTACTCAATGAATATAGCTTCAAGGTATTCCAGATACATTATATTGTGACTTCAAGTACAGCAGTTCTACATGCCTTTTCCTTCTGATTCATAACTGGGTAGATTGCAAGCACTTAATAATCTGAAGTGGAATACTTCGTCATTGTTTACAAGTTCTGGGGCTCACTGAAACTTTCAACAAAAGAACTCAGCTCTGTTCTTTCCCTGCTTGGCCCTGTTCAGAAAAGGCTTAGGAACATCATCAAGTAGCTTGTGGAATCAAGGCCTACTCCATTACAATAGCCCTATTTTTCAGCACATCTGCTGTCCACTACTGTGGATAACCACTTTTTCACTGGGCTCCTCTATTCTTTAGCCTTTGCAGTCCTTACCAGGAGGTCTGAGAATTAAACAGCAAATTATTGTTCTTCTCAGCGCTATCTTAGCTCACAGATGTGGTCAGACTATGCTCTTGGTCTCAAAGCACTTTCTGTGCAGAAGAATCAAAGGTGTTGAAAAAAACACAGGTTACAAAAGACATGACTTGTCAGTCTAATACCACAGATTCTATAGGTTTCAAAATCCTCTGCCTTTTCAAGCATGAAAGGAGTTTGTGGGTATGGATAAGAACAATTCTTGGCCTATGATCAGTTCATTAGTCTTTTAAACATAAACAGCAAAGGAGCTGCAAAAAACACCATCTCATAGATGAGCCTGTGCCCCTTCCCATTCATCCTGTGTACCTTCTCCCCCACTTAATGTATTCATTCTGTAACCACACTTATCCTTCACATGAGGAGTTCCCATCCAAGAGACCATTCACAATGGCCCTACAATGTTACATCTATATTTATTTTTCTGTGTTCTGATCATTACTGATGGTCATGCCTGCTTTTGTTCTCAAGCACACACCTCTTTCTATCTGTTCCATTACTCTATGTTCCTACAGTTTCTCTGCTGGGCTGTCTCCTTTCACATCACACATGCTACATATTACACTGCTCCCTTCCACCCTTCTGCATGTGAAAACCACATTGTTCTGTCATCCAGAGTGCCTGGATATTGGCCCTAAAAGGAATTCCTGAAGTGCATTGCCTTCTGAATAGCATTTGCCTCTCAGAGTCAGGTAGATTTGTTCTTTCACTCCATTCCCAACAACTTGCATAGAATAGAAGGGTGAGATCAGCACAACACCAAATTAGAAGAAAAAAAGTGGCGACTCTCCACCAGTTCTCAAGATTGTTTTATGAACTCTTCATGATAGCAATCCGTAACCAGTAGAGTCAATAGTAGGAATGGAAAATATGGCATACAGCAGAGAAGCGAGAGAACAGAATTACTGTTTCTGCACAATCCTATTCAAATAACAGGTGTAGGGAGCAAATCCTGTTCTCTACAGACAAGAGCCTGCTCAACCACGTATCTCAACTGACTCATGATTTCACTAGCATTCTCAAGGTGTATCATCTTGATTTTCATAAATCACAAATACCAAGTAGCAACTTGTGAGTCCAGTACTACAAAAAAAAAACAGACTACTGAAAGCCCTGCTGTATCTACCAATATTAAGTGAAGTCACAACATAGAAGTTTGACCCTAATTTACAGTATCAGAAAAATTATTCCCACCTTATCTATAATATGTGCAATCTCAGCACGGAGTATCTTTAAATCGTGTTTAAAACTCAGAATTCAGTAGGTTGAGAGAGGTGTAATCAGACTGCATTTGAAAGAATCCGTGCATGGTAACATTAATTACATTAATATGAAGACAAATCTTGTTCCATTAATACCAAATGCAATGTAAGTAATGTTGGGGGCCAAAAATGAACTCTTTTAATAATTTCAAACTAATTTAGAGTAGGATAATCAAAGTATTGACATAAGTTTATCCCCAAAACTTTGTTTATTTCCAGGCTCTCAAATCATTATTTAGTATTGTTTTCTTACAGGTCTTACTCACAGATTTCCAGCTAGGATAACTCCTCAGAACCCACTTATTCCACTAGAGTCAGGAGAATTTGTAATTAGACAAATGAGCCTCAATGACTTATTTCTTATATAAACATTAAGATGCTTCACATTTTTTTAGATTTGATATACATAAAAACATAGTCATCAATTATTTTCAACAAATACTATCCCAGAATCACAGAATGGGTTAGGCTGGAAGGGACCACAGTTGGTCATCTGGTCGTCTCCCTGCTCAAGCAGGATCAGCCTAGAGCACACAGCTCTGGACTGCATGCAGATGTAATATCCATCCACATACTGTGTCAGGTTTATTGCACAATAATTCAAGGCTCACCTACATTCTGCAACACATAGACAGAGAGCTGAATCCACATAATTTTTCACTGAAGTCGATTGGAAAGTGAGTAGCTCACTCTAGTACTACAGATCCAGGACCAAACTAAAGTTATTAAAGAACTTTGAAAATTCTTCTTGGTCCTCTTATAGTTTCTTAGTAAAAATAAACAAACCTTACAAGCAATAATTCTGTATTGTATTGCATTAAACACTATAGCTGGAAAAAACTTCTTAACATTAAAATAAATATTACTTAGTCATGTTTCTTGCCAGAAAATCCTTTCTGCATATCTCTCCCATTCCCGGAAAATGGTTGATTCTCTGAGGAAGTAGAAAAAAAAAAGAAAGGTAGTTGATACTTTTTAGCTTTTCTGCCATACCTAATACAAGCATTTTAACCTGCATGCTCAGGGAAACATAATTAGTGTTACATCTCAATTATTCAAGATAATATCTTACATTATACTACATATACATTGCAATACTAAAGATGCTGCAAGTTGTATTCCCCTCCATCAGCATAGGTACCCATTGATTTCATTTCATACATCAAACTGTCATACTCTAATTCACAAAGCTCTCTAGGAACAAAGAATGCTATAACCAAATAATGGCAAAACCCCCAAATTATTTATTCACAGAAACTGTGGAGAGAGCTCTGGTTGTTAACTTTCTGCTTAAAAGCTTATGAGAAACCTATAAATTATGTTTTGCATCTTCTTTCAAACTCTCCTTATTCAAAACACCCAGCTGGCAGACAAAAGCATGAAAGAGCAGACCCAGCTATTTAAACACCAGATTCCAAGTGGTATGAGCAAATAAATCTGCAATAGCAGAATAGGATTTTAAGATATGCAGTGGGACAGCCTTATTGCAGCCTGGTTGGCTGGTTTTCTGGGGGGTTTTCTGTCCTCCATACAAATGAAACGGAGCAATGACACGTCACAGAAGATTTCAGAGTGAAGCATTTTCCTGAAACATGTCCAAAGTCTTAACTACCACTCTACCTGATAGTTCCGAAGTTCAGCAATCTTTTCCTGCTGCACAGCAGAGTCACTCCATATAAGATTAGCTGTTTCATCTTCATCGCGTGTTTTCACAAATCCCATTTCCTGTATTACCACACGTACTATGGAGAAATCACATACTTAGGGACTATTTTGAATCTCTAAAACAGATTCATTTTCAGAACTCAAAAAAATAAATTAAGTTTTTTAACATTTCCAATATATGACCCTTTGTCTGAGAAAGCTATTTATCTTGCAGTATTTCCATCAGTCTTACTGCAAACCTGCCATTACAACGCTGCAGCACCTTGTACTGAGACAGGAATAAAAGCACAACCACTGATGGGAAGCACAAAGAGCTTCAAGGTATTTCCCAGTCATCTAGTAAAAGTCTACTTGTACAGTAGTTAGACTTAATCTTGGCTATGACACAAGTTAATTTCAAAACAGTCGTGACTACATCTGCCACTGCAGATAGGGACAAGAATGCCTCCTTAGTCAAGGCACCATAGTTACAAAAGCAAATGAATGCATTATTTTCATTTTTAAAAATAAATCCATCAGAAAAAAAAGACTGATTATGTGCCATGCACAACTGGTTCTAGAGAAAAAAAGATTTTTCCCAAGTAGGACCAAGCGTCAAAATACAAAGCGTTATAATAATCAGAGTATTTAACTTTAAATTTACACTGTTCATCTTTCAAGGCTTTAAGTAAACACACACATAATTCACACATAGAGGGTTCTTCCAAAGCCTTCTTGATTACTTAAGTTTTTTCATTTCAAGACCCTTCCCTGAGTAACAAATGGAGATTAACAGAGGTACAGGGTTCAAAGCTATGAATTCAATGTGACAAAACCCCCCAGGTTTCTGGGAAAAGAAAGTCGTTTGGAAATGTCTCACTGTCAGCTTGATGCAAAGTCTGTTAATTCACTCCATTAGTTAGTAACTTGCTCACGTCTAATGGCTAGTAGGATGAAAACAGAGTAAGTAGCTTCCTACCAATTTCATATTTTGTGCCAGCAACATTTGCAGTGATGACTCCGTTCTTCTTCTTCTTCTTCCTGACTTTTCTCTTAATTGTGCTTTGATAGGATAGTTCTGAACTCAGAGTCACAGGACCAGTTCCATGGTTATCTTTGAAAAATAATGTTGTAACTATCAACAATTTTAGATCTCCAATAACATATACAAATGAACTAAAAATACAAACTTGTACTGCAACTCAGCTTAGAGGTACAAGCATATTGAATAATTAATAGTCTATATTAAAAATCCAAGAGTAGCATACCTCCCTCATTAGGCAAGGATGGCATTATAACCTGGGATAGTGCAGAAATAGAGTTTAACTTCTGTTCCAAGTTCTCAGAAAGTGGTGAAACCGTCAAAGCCAAATTACTTAAAGCTCCAGTCATGCCATTTCAGTCTCTGGTTGAAGCAAATGTTAGTTCTGGAATGGATAGAGAGCTGCATTTAAAACAAAACAAAACAAAACAAAAACAAAATGTAAGACACTTTGTTATAGAGAAACCCTGAAAAATATAAACTGCAGAAAAGTAAATATGGCAACACTTTCAATAAAAAGGATAAAGACTTGCTTATTTTAAAAGATTGATCAAGTTATTATAAATATAAAACTTTGTCCAATATGATTAAATTGTTTTCTTCCTGGGAAAAATCATTTTGCAATATTAGTTTTCAAAATGAAATGACATTACCTCATTTTTCTGATATACATTTGGATATGAGAGATTTTGGACATGAAAATAGGTAACACTGAGTTCAATCAATACTGCCAACTTCAATCTCCACAAAGCTCACTGAACTTATAGCTGTTTTAAACCATGCTTTAAGTAAAAAATTAAAATCAGACACATTGTATGATGCATTTTCAAGCACCAAATGGGAAATAACTGAAACACATTAATAATCAGTTACGTCTTTTTTATTTTTCAATGTTTTTTAAAGCAATTGTCCAATAACCATGTGGTAACACATGGCTGCGATTTCATGACCACTTCAAGACACAGCACACAACTTCAAAGACATTCCAGGTTGGAAAGTATCTAAATTGCCAGTTTCTAAAATAAGTAATTATTTGCATAAAACTCTATTTTTCATGTCTACACTGATGCAAAACTTCAATTTTTTTCCCTAGGAATACAGCATTACACGCAAAAGTCACACATATTTAAAAGTTTTTTAGATCCAACTTAAGCACATAACAACAATGGGTTACAGTATTAGGAAAAAAACTCTGGAACAAAAGGCTTCTAAACACAGGACTTTGGGCAGGCAGCACTGTTATACCAAAGTCTGCAAGGAAACAAATGCTGCTTTTGGCAGGCTGCCTCAACCCAACCTACAAGTTTTCAAAACATATACAATATGTTACTGATTTTTAGATGCTTTAATTTCTTTTCTGCAGTCATATGTATAGCTAAAGCTCCTTACGCTAGCTTTAGATTAGTTCATTTTGCCACTTGTGTTGATTGCAAAACTTATTTTAAATAGCTTTATATAGAGCACGAGGAATTTCTTCTGCTATAAATAGCAGAAAATTACAGCTAAGTCAAATTCAGCCATGACTTATGATGTGAAACATATTTGGTCATAAGATTGGACAAGATGTGCATTAAGAAAATTACCAAAATATTATTTATAAATCCTCATTTTTTCTTTGCATCTGTCTGTGTGTATACACGCATGTCAGAGAGAGAAGAGAGAGATGCAAGTATATTCTGGACAAGTCACCCACTTGGTAAGAAAATACCAAAGCAGATATTTTGAGCCGCAACATCTTACTTCCTTTCAAGACCAACATTCACCCTTAACAGTCCATTCACACACACAAAGGGCTAAAAGGAACAGATTACAGTTCTTTTATGACTGTCACAAATGCACAAGGAGCCAAATTCTGCTTTGTAACACGACAAGCAAATCTCCCAAGTCCATTTAGTGGACCCTGCGTATTTATCCAGAAAGTAAGAACAGGAGATGTTTTATATACAGATATGATGTCTGACTGCACAGCAGTAACACCCAGACATACCTATTTGCAACATACTTTACTTGAAAAAGAACTCACTAAGAAAGTTTCCCCCCAGCTGAACTAAAACAAGCAAGTCATTTTGAAGTTTTAAGGTTTTGGATGATATCATCTAAGAAGATGGTCTGAAAGTCCTCGGGCCTGCTGACATACTAAAATTAGACACAGGAAAGCAAAGCATTCATCCTCCTTAAAACTGCTGTGAAGGAAAAGCAGTGCTGGGCACAGTGACTCACTGGATATTGCATGTTATCTGTTTCTCAAGCTAAGAATACCACCAGAGTACAAGACATGGTTATTTCCCAGGAATAACACTGAAGTATGTCTGTTAGCCAAGTCAGGACTTCTGTGCACATACACAAGAGCAGGACAGTTGTCTCTTCGCTGTACTGGCTAAAAACTTTCAACAAATTTGGAAGAATGTCAAGAAGACTAACACTTCCCTGTGAGAAACGCCAGCCCTTTACTAATACAGCATGATTTACAAGCTATGATATACTAATAAAAAGCAAGCAGCTCATAGACCTTTCACTCATCTTACAATCACAGAAAATTATCTGCCTGAGGGTACTATAACACTGTATGCTGAAGGTGGGCCATAAAGCTCCAAATTTCACTACACTGTTGAATTACCGTTCTTCTTTATATAGAAACCATTCTATTCTTTTGAGAAGAATACTCTTCAGGGTTTAAATAGAATGTACCAACACTCAAGGTCTGTGGCTTTCAACCAGTCAGCTTCTCAGCACACATACATGAGTTGATGGTAAAGATTTATGGTAACCTTTAGAGTATTCTATGGACAATTAGTACTTCATTCAGATGGAAAACAAAGGAATGGGACTGACTAACTCTTAGAATAATCTCTGCAAATTGATCATTGAAGTAACTCTTAACAAAATTATGGATGAGAATTTTTATCATCATAGTTGAAGCATGCACTCTTCTAATAATGTCAAATCTTGTTAGACACATGCAGTCTCCTTGTCAAATCCTGATTTGAATTGAAATCTTTAAAGACAGAAGAGATCATTACTGTGCTCCCTATTCAAACCTACTCCACGATTTTGACTTTTCGTAAGCACTGCCCCATACCAATAAAGTTAAAATGTATTCTGCCTTAAGCATGTATATAATAATTCAGAATTGTTTTATAATTGCTTCACTTTTCTTCAGTAGCCCATCTCAAAACAACCATTTCACTGAATACCAAAACAGCAGCAGCTCTAAATTAGTAGTTTTCCAAAATATTTTACATAGGATGTAGTCCTTCCCTTTGTTCCTTTACAAAGGCCAAGTACAGGTCCAATGAAATGGGACAGTCTCAGCTTTTCTACCCACCATGTGAAGTGACAGATGAGAGACACTGCATCTCATCTGGGGGACATGTCACCCAGAGCACTAGCTGTGAATTGTAGGCTGAGCCACGGCCGTAAACTTGCCCCTCTTTAGACCTCCATGCTTTCTATCTCCCCAGTGGAGTAGCAAAAGAAGTTCCAATTCTGCAGCAAGAAAACCTACTACCAGCCTGCTGAGGAAGCTGCAATCCTCCCAGGTAAACTGTTCCTCAAACTAGACTTTAGATGAGCAGTTCCCTAACTGGGGGAATGTGTCACTGGGGACAGAGAGCAATACATGAAGGGCTGCTGCTGAGGGCAGGGAGCTGGCACACTGACAGAGCAGCACGATGCAACATTACACCACAC